ATCACTTTTTTAAATATTAATTACTATATTACTATATAATTACGTATTAACAAAAATACTATTTGGTCATAGTAATCACAATTAATGAATAGAACAATGAAGATCTGCTTCTTTAATCACTATCATCATTGTAATCATCCTCTGTGTATCCATATATTTTATCATAGTGCTGACGACTGAGTTGTATCATATTTTTTATTGATATATTGGAGGATAGTTCTTCAGCTACAAGACCATCGTTATTTTGTATTGTTGGATCCGCATCATATTGTAATAACAAATTCACTATATCCGTATGTCCACGGCAAGCTGCTGCATGCAATGGAGTTTCTCCCATTTTATTCTATAATTAAAATGTGCATATTTATGATTAAATCTACAGTTGCACTGTTATTTACTTACTTGAGCATTAACGATGGGATTTGGCAAACTTAGGAGCTCTTTTACACAATCTACATGACCAGCACGTGCAGCCCAATATAGTGAGGTATTACCCACTGTATCCAAAGCTGTGCCCGAAACTCCTTGTTTTATGTATTCTTTAAGTAACAAAAGATTCCCTCGTCTTGCAGCGTCGTGTAAAGGTAATTCAATTTCTTCAGTTTGTTCTTCAACTATGAATACATTTCCTTCTTTAGTTTACTAGCATATATAAAACATGATACAGAGAAACTATAAATCTAATTGTGAACCAACCATAATTGGCAGGTACGAGACCCTCTTGATTTCCACACTTCGCTCTCCACCAATTGGGTTCTACATCTTTGTCATAAACATAAAGGAGATCACCTTCATCAAAAGATAGTTCATCTGTCTAAGAAATAGAAACATGTCAATAGAATTATTATATGTATTTAATAACTGATTACACAAACAACCCATACGCATGCTTACATTTTGTGCTGTGTATTTATACAATGCTCGCATGACTTTGACTTTACCTTGAAAAAAGGTAACAAATTATACGTAGAAAAAGAAATTCTTGAAAATATTGCTAATGGAGTGATTAGAAATAAAGAAGATGAAGCATAGAACTGTGACACCTGTTAACTATTAGTTGTAGCAAATAATTACTGTATGTAGTAGATACAGAAATTTTCATGCTGAAACAGACATGTTTACACTTTTTATTAATGTGAATGATTTAATCATTGTTCATTTTTTAATTTAAACATTTTATTGACAGGAAGAGAAATATATAAAGACACATATGTTTTAGTATACATGTAGCACATAATTATTGTGTATCAAGCAATTATAATAACCACAAATCAAACTAAAATTGTCATTCGTGTTTCTTATTATTTACCAGGTTTCCAAGTAGTTTTGGGTGGTGCAGGTGTTTGTATGTTACTCATCATGGTAGACATGTTTGTAATAATGATAATAGTAATGATTCCATGTGAAGTGTGAACACTGTTCACAGTTGTGCACTGTCAATATACACAATAATATGCATTTGACTTACATTTGATATAATTTTAGAAAATATATATGTACACACACACAGCTGTAAATTTATTATTTAAACTCTCTTTTTTGCAACTTTCATAAATAATACCATATCTGAAAAATAAAAAACAAATATACTACATTAAAGTAATGATCAAAATATTCTAAATAAACATAAAAATTATGTTTATTGGACAATAAATATCTAAAAGTGAATGAGAAGGGGTTGTATATTTCAATTGTAACTTACTAAAAAAGACAACTAAAACAAATGCTATCATCACCCACATCCAACATCTCCAATATGATGTTGTATGCTCTTTCAATTTCAATGATTCTGTATTTAATTTATTTGTATTAACATCTGTCAATTTATCAGACCTCTCAAGGAGTCCAATATCTTTCTTTATAATAGCATTTGCCGCCAGTGCATGTTCTTTCATACTACTGGTCATTGATAACATGTTCTCTGCAATCTTCTCCTGAATATTTCTATTGTACTTTAAAAGTACATCTAAATCTTCATCTTGCATATTTGTACTAGACAATCTTTGTCTTACACCATCCTCTAAGGATCCTACAAAAATGCAATAGTACTATAGATCTGCATATTTATTTCATATACACGGTGTCTCAGTTAAACTAGATCACCTGAATTCTATTCTGATTTATTGCTATATGAAGAAATAAATTAGGACAAAATTTTATTATCGTAAAACCCTGCATAAAACCATTTAGTTACCTTTGTCGCTGTGAAATAATTCTGCTCGCAATTCTCGATTATATTTTGCTGTAGTTTTCTGGTGAATTTGAGTTGCTATATTTGAACCTAACAAATCATTGAATGTTGTAGAACTTTTTGATAGCATCTGTACTGCTGCCACTCTATCCACAGGACTAGTTAGTTTCGTTGTGTTTACTAGACCCTTTAAAAAATCTATTCGTTTATTATAACCCATCATGATGTCTTTACTTGGTTTACTAAAAAAAAATAATATCCAATTATAAAAATTATTATTTTTATTGAAGTCCATATTGTAGTAATAATAATTTCAAGAAGTACCTTGGTAACGTTTGTAATTGCTTGATCATGTCATCTAAAGCAAGGATATACTGAAAGAATTAAAAAAATATAAGTATAATAAACTGTACTACTTTTAAATGACATTTATGATGAAACAACATATGTTCGACAAATTTTTGTCAACCTTCTCCAGTTTCCAATCCTTATGAGAATCATCTTTCGCCATTAATTCACATCTCGCTAAAAGTCGTCTGATATTAATTTCTTCCCTGGACATTAAATTCATAGCTTATGTGATTTCTAAAATCCTTCACAATGTTTGTAAACTTCGTCTGTCAAGTGACAACAAGTGCCAATCGTATATATCTTTTACGTCGAATATTTCACTTTGTTTGCTTCGCAATGTTGCAGAGAAATCGTTCGATAATATCGAAATTTCAAATATTATCTGGAACACATGTAAGATCATCGAAATTATGAATATGTACGTAAAAAAATTGTGTACGTGCCAAGTGCCAAATGTACTAGATAATGCTAGACAACTAGATCTGCGATTTATGTAGAATTATTTGCAAACAAAGATTCTTTACATGGTGCGAATTTCATAGGGAAAATTATCGGTACAGTACGACCATTACTATCTATACTCTATACGCGCATACATAGTTTTATTATTGTATTAAAAAATATTTAAGTTTCCGAAACTTTTAACAGAACTCTCAGGTAATAACGTGAAAAATATCATGCTGATATATTACAAGTAATTATTTATAAATTATAGTAGCATGTAAAAAATAATTTAGTTTTTATAGATTTTGAACGCGCCGCTATGAATTCATTACTAGACTAACAATTTATTATATTTTCCGTAAATAAAATAACACTTCGTGCGTAAACATAATGTAAGTTCATCTTTCGAGTGTGATAAACTGACTTTATGAGTGAACATTTTTGTTATTATAAATAATAATACATAAGTTGATAATTTTTATATCAGAATTTTACGCCAACGCGCGTAATCTGTATAGGAGTTAAATTGAAAAGTTTGTAACGCACTAATACACGAATACTGTGAGAAACACGATAGCCATATACATAACGATTGACGTTGGCATTCATTATTTAGGGGGCCGATCCCAGTAAGTTTCTTGGTAGATTGACAGAATCGTTAAGATGGCTGATATTAAAGAATCTCCGCCGCTTTTCGACTCAAACGAGGCAAAAGTTGATGATTTGGACGATGATGATGAGGATATTTTTGCATCAGCTGTACAAGTATGTTTTATAATATTATTACACATGTGCATGAAAACTTCGCGACCTAAGCACTGCGCTCTAGACTCATTTGTTTTTATAATCAGTATAGAAGATATCTTATTCGTTTTCAGAAACAATCAATTGAAATGAAAATTGCTTTTACCTCGTTTTAACCCTTTATAGTCGTAGACATGTCCATCGTTTCTTTACAGTTAAACCGCATCTACTTGATTATTTTCGGAGAGTATTATACGATTTATTAGTCTTCGGATATTTTTGGATTTAACAAACGAAATAACATTCATACTAATATATTTATTATATTGTAATATGAAACGTTGTCGACATATTGTTCTGTTGCTTAATATTACTTATATGTAGGACCAGAGTCAGTTGGAAGATACATCTCCCTACAATGGGATTTCGACAGCGCAAGCAGAATTACCAAAGTTGACACTGCGAGATGCGCCCGAAGAAAATTCATTCTCTTCTGTGTCAAGTCCTGCACCAGGACCCTTAAGTCCACCATTAGGTCCAATGGGTAGCGACATAGGTGACCTTCACGATGTACCCATAAATGATAATGCAGATGTTTTATCAACAAACATTATCCAAAGCCAATCGGTGGATGAGGTATACATTTAATTATTGAATAGCCCATGAAAGCGTGAGAATTATAATTACTAAAACTAAAAATATAGAGTTTCATATTATATTTGTCCACAGGTAGCAGCAGATTCATCTGATGTATTCTTGAAAATTACAGTAACTTCTCCTCAGAAAATTGGAGATGGTATGGGGGCTTATGTTGCTTACAAAGTTGAAACCAAAACAAATATGCCAATATTTAGAAAACGAAATTTCAGTGTCATTAGACGCTTTAGTGATTTCCTTGGTCTCCATGACAAATTGACTGATAAATACCTTAGAAGTGGTAGAATAATTCCTCCTGCTCCAGAAAAGAGTGTTATTGGTATGAGCATGAATTTGTTTAAATCTTTACATTCATGTAATCTATTTATGGATTTGTAATTATTTATACAACTAGGAACAACTAAGATTAAGATGTCAGGCGATAAGAGTCAGGAGCAGAATAACAGCTCTACAGAATTTATTGAAAAACGCAGATCTGCACTTGAAAGATACTTAAATAGAACTGCAGCTCATCCAGTGCTTAGTGTTGATCCTGATTTCAGAGAATTTTTGGAAGCAGGTATATCATAGTAAAAAAAATACAGTATTTTTTAAGTGGATCTCCATGATCAGATTTTATTTTTTTAAATAGATATGGAATTACCTAAAGCTACCAATACATCTGCACTTAGTGGCAAAGGAGTACTGAGACTCTTTAACAAAGTCGGAGAAACTGTAAACAAGATAACGTACAAAATGGATGAAACTGATAAGGTAAAAATAAAAAGATTACTTTCATACAATTTTGGAAAAATGGATATGAATTAAGACATCGTTTTTTACACATTTATTATACAGTGGTTTGAAGAAAAGACTTCACAAATTGATTCTCTTGATATACAATTACGTGCACTACATTCCGCTGTTGACACTTTAAATAATCAGAGAAGAGAATTAGCGACGTGTACCGGTGCAACAGCAAGATCTATTGCTGTTCTTGGTCATGGAGAACCAGGTGCATCTTTAGGAAGGGCATTAGCTCAGCTGGCTGAGACTTTGGAAAAAATAGAAGTGGTTAGAAAAGCACAAAGCAATAGCGATCTCTACCAATTTGGAGAAATGTTAAGAGATTATGTCGCGCTTATTGGAGCAATAAAGGTCAATAATCAAGTTATATTTTAGTGTATTGTTATGATATTATATTTAACTTAACATTGTGTGTGTTGTTCATTTTAGGACGTATTCCATGAGCGGGTAAAAGTTTTCCAAAATCGGCAACATGCTCAAATGATATTAAATAAAAAGCGGGAGCAAAAAGCAAGGCTAGAACAATCCGGTAGAACTGACAAAACAAGTCAAGCTGCTACCGAAGTTATTGAGTGGGAAGCAAAAGTTGACAGAGGTCAAGAAGAATTCGATAATATCTCGAAAATGATTAAAAAAGAAGTTGAGCGATTCGAGTTGGGACGAGTAGAAGATTTTAAAAAGCAGTTAACAGAATATTTAGAATCCATGTTGCTACACCAAAATCAAATCATTAAATTTTGGGAGAGCTTTTTACCCGAAGCTCGAGCTGTTGCATGAACATTCCCGAAGTAATCTCGAAATGTTTTTTATTATAACAAGATGAAATCTTCAGCAGGAGATCGTTTCCGTACATGTTGGAGTCAAGTTTTTGAATGATGAATGATATCTTGCAAGATGCATATATAATTTATCGATATGCACTACAACAACAATATTCGGATCGTAGATTCAAGAAACCGACTGTTTATGCGAACAAATAATTTATGTACAATAATTTTGGAATACTGCCAGTGCTTTTACAAATTCGAAAGCGACAAAGTATATGGCATATTTCATGGAAATTTCTAGATATTCATTTCATGCCAATTATCTTTCACTACATCGTGCGTTTATTACCTTCTTATTATTAGCTTATATTAGAAGTATATAACGCATAATACGGTTTGTTAAAAATGTTTTACATGATAATAAAAATTGATTAAGATTGTATAAATAGAGAGCATTAAATAACTATTTGTTGAAACAAAGTTTAATGATATAATTAACGTTACGTACTAAATTTATAATTTTCATATTATTTCTAGAATAGTGAATAAGTATTCCAATTCAATTTTTATTAAATGCAATACAATCGATATCATATATTACTATGAAAGTATGGGGATGAAGACATATTTTTTTACATGTTACAAAAAATCTACAAACAATAATAAAATTAAATACACATACACATATCTTTTTTTATTTAACAAAAATATCTTGTTGAAATCTAGAAAATGGCAACATTTATTATTAAGTTATTGATGTTAAACAGATAATATTTTCAAAGTATTA